TCATTCATTCAACAGATATTTAGAGATCTGCCTACTATGGCCCCCAAACTTTAATAGGCACTGGTAGTCTGGAGTCAGGGACTTTCTTAAGGCTCCTACTCTCATGAAACTTTCTCTATAAAAGAGGAGACTTATCAGTAGAAGTGATCTCAACCAGAGCCACTTTCCTGCCAAGGGACATTGAGGTATGTCAGGGTAAGTTCCTTGGTTGTCACAAGTGGGAAGGAGCTAGTGACATCTAGTGGGTAGAGGCCAGGTGTGATGCTAAACGTCTTCCAAGGTACAAGACAGCCCCCTGTAACAAATTATCTGGCCACAAATGTCACTAATGCTGCAGCTGAGAAACCCCAGTTTAGCAGAAAGCCTCCATAAATGGAAGCGACAGTTGATATTAAAACCTTACTTAATGGGCAGCATGCTCTTGTGTAAATTAACACATCTAGGCATCACAGTGAAGAAGAGAGAACTATTAGCCTTCTCTCACAGGATTAACTGAGTATGCACTTGACAATGTTTCATTTGTACAATGTAAATAATGTTTCTTCCTATGGACACACAAATTTACATTTTTTACTTGTCATGATCTTAATTTGGAATTCATCTCCCAGACCCTCAGGATTATTGGTCTTGGCCCTGAAACTAATTCTGTATGGACAACTAGTAGGCTGAAGATATCACTTTCTGCTGCCAAGCCACTGTCCAACTCCTTTACCTGCTGCTTATCCTCCAGGGAGGTGGAGATGACAGAACAGTCTGTTATCAGGTCCTTGCGTACCACAGACCCTAAATCTGCAGCTGTGGACTCAAACATGGGGGAGACTACAACTTCCTCATCTGACAGCAAGCCGGCTGGTGGAGAAAGGATCCCTTGCGACATGACAGCAGGGGCAGCTTAGGTCTACAAAGAGACAAGAGTGGGTAGGGAGGAGAACCTTAAAGGACACAAGGGGCTGCAAATTCTAGCTAAGAAACAATTTTCTTGCCCCAGGACACCTTCCTCTCGCTGCTTGAATTCCTACTCCCTTTTCCCTTCAAATGCCAGGAGAGAAGAAGGGGATGAGACGGGTTAATTATGTAATCCAGTCTTAGGCATTTCCGACCGTCATGAGGAATGAACAGATACCTCCCTCCACAAGCAAAATCCCCACTCTAATTAGGGTGCCTCACCCACCGGTGTAGAGAAGAAGGTGGTATAATTAGCTTTAGGCTTCTTCTCGAAGCCCGCCCCCAGGCCCAAAGACAGGACAGACGTATAAAGAAAAAAAGGGACGGCGGCAGCTTCGCTTTCTGAAAACCTATCCCGGGAGGGCAAGAACTCGTACAGCCGCTGGACTCCAGGAGACCCGCAAACTCACCAAAGACGCGACACTCGCTCCTCCTCCGGTACCGGCTCACTCACACCCCGCAGCCGAACCCGGACTTTCGCAGTCTGAGAGCACAACTCCACCCACGAGGTGCACCTTTGTTACTGATACAATGTTTTAAATTACGCGCTGCGTTCGTTCGGCCAATCAGATAGCGGCGCCTGCAGCTGCCAATCAGCGCAAGCAAAGGGGGCGGTGGAGCCTTTTAGACCGTTTGCTCTGGTCTGACCTCTATCCTGCTCATGCGGGTCCGGGTTACCAACTGTCGGAGTTTGGATTTGGGAAAGCCTAGAATTTTTCGCGCTTAACACTTTTCCTTGGATACACACGTTTCTTTTCTAAGAAACTTAAAGGAAATTCTGAGGCTTCAGAGCCATCCTTTTTAGCACATTGCTTCCTAAGATCGCTCAAAAAACCTGGTTTAGGGAGCTTGCTCGTCCTGAAGGTTGGGACTACGCTTCCCAGGAGGCATCGCGAACAAGCGTCGGGACTCTATTTCCCAGAGTTCCAGGTCTTAAGCCCCACCAGGCAGTCCTCCCTGAGAGGGGGTTGGAGTCTTCGGGGCCAAGATGGCGACAGGAACGGGTAGTAAGTATGTCCGCTGTTTTTGTGTGGAAGGCCTCTTAGACCCGAGACTAGGCACCACATTTCTGTCACGCGCTTAGGGAACAGGTGCAATGATTTGCTTAAGAACCCAGGGTCTTCAAAGACCTGCGCTCGATCGTACTGTGAAGACCAACGACTAGACGCCCAGAAGCGAAGGGTCTTGTGTTTCAGGGAGGCTGCGGAGATTTGAGAGGAGCAGCTCGGCGAATCTTTGTGTGTTTGGGAGCTCTGCGGGGTGAGAGATAAAGGGGCTCTGGAGTCTTGGGTGTGCAGACGAAGAAATGCCGGTAGCCGTACGGAGTAGCCTGATTTCCAAAAGCCATTCGTTTTCTGACCAACGTTTTTGAGGCCCGTACTCTATCTCCCACAGAAACAGGGTACTTTAACTGTTAGTTTTTTCGGCCACTAGGGAAACTGCGTTTTCTGCGTCTCAGCCATTTTCCTCTGTTTGATACACTGAAAAGGTCTTTTAGGCCCGACAGCTACTTGGGGGAGGAGGTACTGAGAGAAGTAAACAAGTTTATGCTAAGAAGGAGGCAGGGCACTAGGCTCGGGGTGGAGGAGCGGGTGGCCGCTCGGAATCCTGGGAAGAAGCCTTTGCGTTCAAATTTGAATAAAATGTTAAAACTGGGCCTCTCCGGGAAGTGCCTTATCTTACTCTGACCTTCCCCCTTCCATTTTTAGAATAAAACGGTAGCCATGTCATTTGAAGAAGTAAAAGGTTTGCCAGATATTCAGTGCAATTCATATGGAATAATCATTCGGTGGTGGTATTTTCTTAGGTGAAAATCAATATTCGGTGATAGTAACTCATTTTCTTCTTAGAATCCGGGATGTTTTGCATTAGGCTTTTAGTCCTTACTTTGGGCCTTAGAACTAGTGTCTGGGTGGCTTGTTCTCTAAGACTTTTCTCCTTTTAGAACACAAGCTGCTGAGTACTGGCCCTACAGAGCCATGGTCCATCCGAGAGAAGCTCTGTTTAGCCTCTTCGGTTATGAGGAGTGGAGATCAAAATTGGTAAGGCATCTAAGATGGCTGCTTTCTTGGGTCTTAGAAACTGTTGGGTATTTTTTTTATTACACTGGTGCAATCTTACAGTTAATCATACTAACCTTTAAGCAGTATTTGTTTTTTAACAGCTTTATTGAAATTTAATTCAAATACCATAAAAGTAACCTAGTATATTCACAGAGTTGTGTAATCATCTCCACAGACTAATTTTAGAACGTTTTCATTACTCTTAAAAGCAGTCTCTTATCCCTTCCTTAAGCTGCCACTTGACAGTCTCCTCTCCACCTCAGTAACATCTACCCCCACACACACCCTCAGGCAAAAATACCCCGTCGGCTTCCTGTCTCTCTAGATGGCCTATTCTGGACATTTCATATAAATGAAATTTGAGGAATAGCAGAACTATGTTTTTTTTTTTTTTTTTTTTTTTTTGTTTGTTTTTTTTTTTTCAACGTTTATTTATTTTTGGGACAGAGAGAGACAGAGCATGAACGGGGGAGGGGCAGAGAGAGAGGGAGACACAGAATCGGAAACAGGCTCCAGGTTCTGAGCCATCAGCCCAGAGCCTGACGCGTGGCTCGAACTCACGGACCGCGAGATCGTGACCTGGCTGAAGTCGGACGCTTAACCGACTGCGCCACCCAGGCGCCCCAGCAGAACTATGTTTTAAAAGGGCCCCATTTTAGGGCGCCTGAGTGGCTCAGTCGGTGAAGCCTCCTACTTCGCTCAGGTTATGATCTCAGGGTTTGTGAGTTAGAGACCCGCGTGGGGTTCTGGGCTGAGAGCTCAGAGCTTGGAGCCTGCTTCAGATTCTTTGTCTCCCTCTGTTTGCCCCTCTGCTGCTTGCACTCTGTCTCTCGCATTGTGTCAAAAGTTAGTAAACATTTAAAAATTTTTTAAAAATAAAAGGGCCCCATGGTCTTTATATTCCACAGGCAATGAATTTTCTTTGTATACTTGACAACACTTACTGTGTGTCATGCTAATGGGTATGAAATGGTATCTCATTGTGGTTTTGATTTGTATATCCCTGATAATTAATGTTGTTGAGCATCTTTTCAGGTGCTTATTGGTCATTTGTCTGTCTTTGGGAAAATGTCTGCTCAGATCCTTTGGATTATCTATATTTTTATTATTGAGCTTTAAGATCTGTAAATATTCTGGACACAAATTGCTTGTCAGATCATTTGCAAAATTTTCTTTTGTGTGTTGTCTTTTCATTTTTTTTTTTTGATTGGTTTAATTTATGGCACAAAAGTTTTTAATTTTGATATGTCCAATTTATTTTTTCTTGTGTTGCTTATGCTTTTGGTGTCATAGCTAAGAGACCATTTACTTCTATGTTTTCAAAGCTAGGTTTATTTTGTTTATGTTTTTATTTAATCTCTCCCCCCATTGTGGGAGGCTCGAGCTCACAACCCTGAGATCAAGAATTGTATGCTCTTCTGACTGAGCCAGCCAGGCATCCCCAAAGCTTTATAGTTTTAGCTATATATGGGTCTGTGATCCATTTTGAGTAATTTTTCTGTTGGTTGTAAGACGGGGATCTTTTTTACACGTAGATTTGCAGTTGTCTCAGTCTCCGGTCTTTGTTAAAGACTGTTCTTTCCCTATTGAAATTGTCTTGGCACTCAGTATTTCTTTTTAGAGACCAGAAAGTAAGGACTCTGGTTTCCAATTTTTTTTTTTTTTTTTTTTTTTTTTTTTTTTTTTTTTACTTCTAGGACGTACCCGTTTTTATTTTTAACATTTGCTTGTTTTTCCTCAGAATCAAAAGACACCTTTTACTTGTCTTAAGCCTGTTAATTATTTAATAAACAAATTTGTGTTTTGTGGCACATCTCTACTATTTTAATTGTTCAAATGAGTCTACAGAGGCACCATTGCTGGTTACACTTAACATTTCTGCAGCTTTATATATTTTCCAAATGACTTAAAATTTTTTTTTAATGTTTATTTATATTTGAGAGAGAGCATGAGCAGGGGAGGGGCAGAGAGAGAGGAAGGAAGACACAGAATCCAAAGCAGGCTCCGGGCTCCGAGCTCAGCACAGAACCTGATATGGGGCTTGAACCCATGAACTGTGAGATCATGACCTGAGCCAAAGTCGGACACTTAACCGACTGAGCCACCCAGGTGCCCTTCAAATAACTTTTTAAAGGTGAAATCTGGATATCCTAGGTAATATCTGTTTTTAAACCAAATTAAATGGTAAACCCTAAGACAAAATGCATCACACTAATTTGATAAATCACAAATTAAAAATAGTATAAGAACACTTAAGTAAAACTTTGAAATTTTAAATTGCATTTCTTTTTTTTGGAGGTACTAAATCATAAGTTTCCAAGTTCAGAATGGCACACAGTGTCTTCCATTGCTATACCTCATCTACCAGTGTTAGCATTTTCTTAGAGTTTCATTACTTGTGTTTCTCTGGCATTGATTTTATATACATTAGCAAATACATGTTTTCTTCTCCTTTTTTTTTTTTTTTAATGTTTAATTTTGAAAGGGAGAGTGACAGAGCATGAGTGAGGGATGGGCAGATAGAGAGGGAGACACAGAATCTGCAGTAAGTTCCAGGCTCTGAGCTGTCAGCACAGAGCCCAGCATGGGGCTGGAACCCAGGGACCGAGAGATCATGACCTGAGCCAAAGTCAGACACTTAAACTGACTGAGCCATCCAAGCACCCTTCTCCTCCTACTTTGTAAACACAAATGGTTTTATACTATATATACTGTTCTTTACCTTGCTGTTGCTTGTCTTTTTTTCTGTAACTTAGTGTATGTGAAGCTCTGTCTCATTCTGTTTTTTCTTAAGTGTCTGTGTGGTATTGTGATACAGGTAACTGTAATTTATTTACCTGGTATTCTCTTGATGGACATTTCCTAATAC